GAGCATAAGGAAAAATGGCGCGAAGCCATGGACAGGGAATTAAAGGCACTAGAGGAGCGCAACACTTGGAAAGTCGTTCCCATCAGTGTGGCGCGGAACAAAACGATTCTCACCGGAAAGTGGGTTTTCCGAGTGAAAACAAAAGCAGACGGTACCATCGACAAATTCAAAGCACGCTGGGTCGTACGTGGCTTCGACCAAGAACACGGACGCGACTTCACCGAGACATTCGCTCCGGTCAGCCGACATACCTCACTGCGAATTCTCCTCGCGATCGCCGCCATGAAGAAGAAGAAGTTGCGACAAATCGACGTCGCAAACGCATTTCTCTACGCACCTGTCGACGCAGAAATCTTCGTCGAGTTACCGCACGGCTCCAACGGAGAGCCCAATCAAGTCTGTCAGCTACTGAAGTCGCTCTACGGCATCAAGCAAGCTCCACGACTATGGCAACAATACCTGCACGCTCGCCTCATTCGCATCGGCTTCAAACAACTACCACATGATCAGGGGATGTACCGGCTCACGAAGAACACTGACTACATTCTGTTAATCGTCTACGTGGACGATCTACTCTACATCGGCTCGACCGACGGCATCACAACCTGGTTCGAAGGGGAACTGCAGAAAGACCTCACGCTCACGGTCTCAACTACCGCCACACAGTACCTCGGTCTCAACATCCGAGAAGAGGTAGACGCGATCTACCTCAGTGCCGCGAAATACGCCGACACCATCGCCAAGCGCTTCGCACTCACACCGACCGCCATCTCCACACCGTACCGCTACACGACAGGAAACAACAAGGGAAGCCCCGCTCTACTTAAGCCCGCCAGCATACGCGACTACCAAAGGAAACTGGGCTGCCTCTTTTTCGCAGCTGTCACCTGCCGCCCGGATCTATCGTATTCTGCAAGTCAGCTCGCCACCTACCTCAAGAAGCCTGAAGCAGAACATCTAGCGGAGCTCGACCGCGCTCTTCACTACCTCGTCAGCACCCCGATGATCGGCCTAACTTACTACAAGAACGCAACTACACCGCCCAAGTTAATCGGCTACGTTGACGCCGATCACGCTGGCGACTCCGACAACAGGCGTTCTCGCACCGGCTACATCTACCGCCTCGAACCTATCGGACCTATCTCTTGGCAGTCGAGCAAGCAGGAATTAATCGCCCTCTCGTCAGCTGAAGCAGAATATATTGCACTCTGTTTAGCCACCAAGGAAGGACTTTATCTTCGCGAACTGCTGGAAGAAGCGAAACTGGCTCAGTTACCCAGCTTCACCCTGTTTTGCGACAACCAGTCGGCAATTCGCATCGCCAACAAGAACGGCTTCGCGAACAGGACGAAACATATCGCCCTGCGATATTTCTTCGTAAAGGACGAGATCGAGAAAGGAAGGCTCGAGCTGTTATACTGCCCCACGTCCGAAATGGCAGCTGACTACTTGACCAAGAAGCTCGGAAAACAGAAGTTCGAGTACTGCATGCTGCTGACTGGACAGAGCCACGTCACCAGCAGCGACACTCCAGAAGCGAAGGGGAGTGTTGGAAACAACCAGTCTTAAGCGCCTCTGTCATGTCGAAACACCAAGACACAAGCGAAGCAAAGCATATCGAGGCACCAGCGAGTCAACCCTCGGAGGTTGAAGTAACTGCTGGAGGTTACGCGAAAGTCAAAGGTCAGCGACCTTTGACCTGACAAGTACAGCGCGACAGCAAGGACACACAACTGACTCGCTACAGAGCAGTTGCCCGAGTCGTCACTGTATCGAACCGCAACAGCAACAGTAAAACAGTTATAACTGTATCCTTTCATATTCCTTGTACTCTTATATAATCTTGTATATCTTTGTTCTAATCAATCTACTTTGCCCTCACATACTAGCGCAAGGTGGTTCACAATACTTCATTAAACGCTTCCGCTATTTCATCAGTACTACTCAGAGTTCATCCCTGCAAAGATCCTAAGGGCCTTTTCTCAGCCCAACACATGAGTCACATTTTTTTTCTACTACCTTTTCCCTGATTCGTCAAGGTAATGTTTTAGACCTTCCTTAGTGAGTATTATCCTGAACAGCGTATTCAGGAATCCGCCCCCCCTACACTCTCCCCATTTTCCCCTTCTTTCTGGGAAAGTGATTCCCGTAATTTTTGCAAGTCCGGTCTGTGCGTTGGCAATCGTGGTGCATCTGATTGGTCCATTTCACACTCAGGGCGTGTTCCTACGCTCTTATCAGGCAAACCTTTTGTCAGTCTTGCTTGGTAAAAGTAGCGAGGGTTTTCGGGTTTAGGGGATTTTCAGTGTGTTTTGACACGAGCTTGATATGAGGTTGGCCTGATAAGGGGCCGTAGGAACACGCCCTCAGTGTTGCCAACCGACCCTCGCCGAGTGATAATGCCGATTCATGCAGTCGACCTCACCGAGCCCTACGATACCAGGAAATTTTCCCTGAAATTCCTGATTTTCAGCCTAGTTTTGTGTACCTACACTGATTTTTCAGTGCTGAGATTTTTGTGACACTCATTTTTCAGCCTTTATTTCATGGCTAACACTGATTTTTCAGTCTTTTATCGAAGAGTACACTGAATGCACATTCCGAATCCTTCCTGTAAACCACCCGAGAGATTCAGTCAACCAACATTTTTACATTAAAAATCATCGTTTTGTCTTTCGGTTCACAGAGTGAACTGTTTCAGTGGTTAGCGAGTTCATACCGAATGGTATTGTTCTCGGTTAGAATCCATCGGCTGTCATCTTTCGTAAAGACTACTTCCATATGCAAAGGCATAATGTGATTGAAAATTCAGGGTTTTTTTTAGGAACCCTGAAAATTCAGGCTTTTTTTTTTAGGAACCCTGAAAATCCAGGCTTTTCTTCACAAGGATCTTGATGCATCGACGTCCCTAAAAGTGAATCTGAGGTTTAGGGTTTAGCATGGAGGGTTCAATGGTAGACTGTCTCATGGCTTAGTGGGAAAATCCACACCGGCTTAATTAAAACGAGGAGCTAGCCACAGCCTGATCAACACCGCCATTGCACAGAGACTGAAACTAACACTGAACAACTGCTTACCTGATTGATGCGAGACTGGTCGACGGCACGGCACTTGTGATACGGGAACGCGTGGACCGAGTTCGGATTCGTTGAGGGGGTAGTTTCAAATTCACCTAGGAAATGCTGGCGACGACCCTCGACTGCCCGCACCCGAGATCCGAGTCAACCCACCTGACTGCCCAAAAACCGCATTCCGCACCCGCTACGGATCGTTCGAATACACCGTGATGCCCTTCGGACTGACCAACACACCCACCACTTTCCAAATGACCATGAACAAAGCCTTCCGCTTGCTTTTAGATAAGTGAGTGATCGTCTGTTGGGCTGAAAAAGCCCTTAGGATCGTTTCAAGGCTAAGACTCGAGGTGATGATGTAATTGCGGAAGCGTTGTAGTGAACTATTTGAACCATCTTGCGCTAGTGTGTGAGAGCAAGATAGATTGATTATAGCAAAGTAATACAAGGCTTTATATGATTACGAAGAAATATGAGAAGACATAACTAACTGTTGCTGTTGCTGTTGCGATTCGATACAGCTGCGACTCGGACAACTGCTCAGTAACGAATCAGTTGTTTGTCCTTGCTGTCGCACTGCCTTTTCGGTGAGTCAAAGGTCGCTGACCTTTGATCTTCGCTTAACCTCCTTGATGTTACCTTTTGTCAAACTCTTCGGTTGACTCGTTGTTGCTTCGCTGTAGTCTGCCTCGCTTACGATTTAGTGCTTCGACACATCAAAAGCGCAAACTACATGTTTCCAACACCCCCCTTCGCTTTTGGAGTGTTGTTGTTGGTGACGTGGCCTTGTCCAGTCAGCAGCATACAGTACTCGAACTTCTGCTTTCCGAGTTTTTTGGTCAAGTAGTTTGCTGCCATCTCGGACGTGGGGCAGTAGGATAATTCGGGTCTTCCTTTTTCGATCTCGTCTTTCACGAAGAGATATCGCAAGGCGATGTGTTTCGTTCGGTTCGCAAACCCGTTCTTGTTCGCAATGCGAATTGCAGATTGGTTGTGGCAGAAGAGGGAGAAGCTGGGTAACTGGGCCAGCTTTTCTTCTTCCAGTAGTTCGCGAAGATGCAGTCCTTCCTTGGTGGCCGAGCAGTGTGCTATGTATTCAGCTTCAGCAGAGGAGAGAGCAATCAGTTATTGCTTGCTCGACTGCCACGAGATAGGACTGATGGGCTCGAGTCGATAGATGTAGCCGGTATGCGATCGTCTGTTATCTAAGTCGCCAGCGTACGTACCGCGTAACTGTTTGCACGTTTTCGTATGAGCATTCGCTCATGCCTTCGCTGATACTTTGCATTCGCTTGACACTCTAGTGCAATACTCGCCATCTCGTTCCATTGCACCAACTAGCAAGTTCACGTTACCGTATGCACTAGCATGCGTAAGTGTTCCATATCTTCTGTTATGAATGAGCTTGCAGAGTGCGCAGAATAACGAATAACTAGAATACTAAACTACTCAATGACGATACAAGGAAAGTGTCGAGACTAAATAGGGGAAAAGCTAGCTAGGCGAAGAGATCGGGCGAGGATGGCTCAGAAAGTGTCGCGATTGGTGCGGGCGACTTGGGAGTGGTTCGGTGTGACGAAATAGGCCGAACGTGATGGTCGAGTGGCCCTCGGAATTGTCCTCGCTAACAACTGTCTACTGTAAGGAATTCTAATTTCTTACATCCTCACACTCATGGTTACCCCATTCCACTGAAATTTTGCACTAACAATATCCCAACAGCGATCCCCGTTCCGTCTCCCTTTTTTCCCTCAAGCCTTGCTTCAGTTTCCACTGCCTGTAAGTGACGTCACGAGCCTTCCGTGCTTTCCCCGTCTGCCTGCCGACCTATTCGCAGTAAGTCCTTCGCGTAGGAGAAAAGGTCCCATTCGCGGCGAACATCCGCCGAATCTTGACGGATTTCCGAAATCGATTTGATCTCGCACGATGCCGCTCGTCCGCACGCTCGCCGTCCCGACCCGATCGTTCTGACTTATTTTAGGCGAATTGAGTGTCTCCGCAATGCCGGCTTCGTCTCGTTCTTCCTCATCGTCTACCTCGTCGTCTACCTCATCGTCTTTCAGATCCATCTGAAAATTCTCTATAAGATATTCTTGTTCCTTCTCCTCGCGTCTGAAAATTCTCTATAAGATCTTCTTGTTCCTTCTCCTCGCGTGATGCGCCGTCTATCCCCCCCTCCCCCCTTTTCCCCTCTTGCCCCCTTCCCCGGTTCTATTCGCCCGCGCCATTCCCTCCTCATTCGCCTTCCGCGTTCAGTTTTTTTTCGCTCCCGCCTCCTTCCGCTCCCAATCCCGCATCCCTCCATTTCGTGCACCATCGGATCCTCTTTGCTGTTTTGCAACGCTGCCTAAGCCTACCTTTCCCCTCTCCACCCCCCCATTTTCCCCCCTCCCTCTTTCCCCCTTCCCCTTTCCCCCCTCCCCCAACCCCTCCCCTTTCTCGCTGGTTTGCGTCCTCCCAGCCGTTTTCCGCGCATTTCCCTCCTCCCTCCCCACTCCCCCCTCTCTCTCCCCCCTGCCCCCTCTCTTCCCCCCCTGCCCCCTCTCTTCCCCCCCTGCCCCCTCGCGCCCCCGTCCCTCTTCTCCTCTTCTCCTCCACTTCCCTCCCCGCGTCCGCCCTCCGCCCTTCCCGCCCTCCTCCCGCCGCCCGTCCGCCCTCCGCCCCTCTCCACCGCCCTTCTCCCGCCACACTACCGTTCCTCACCCATGTGCACCGATCCTGCCATTTCTCCCTTCCCGCTCTTCTCTCCCCCCTCCCCCTGTTTTCCCCCGGCGCGTTTCCCCTCCCCGCCTCCCCTTTCTCCCTCGTCGCGAACCCCCTCTCCCCGTTTCCCCACTCCCCTTCTCTAGACGCGTCCACGTGGCACTTCGCGGCTCCAATGGCCGCCGTCCCCGTCAGCATGAGCGGGCGCTCCGTGCTCGCCACGTCAGCCAGTTTGAGGGTGAGTGAGGCCCTAGCCATAATACGAGTCGCGTTAGTGGAACGGAGGGAGGGATTGACAGATTCAGGACTATTAAAAGAGGCGTGGGAGGGAGGGAGGGACGGTCATTGGGATTGGCACTGAGAGACTTGAAAGTCTATTAAAAGAGGTGGAGGGGTGGAAGGGGGGAGGGGGCAAGGGGGAGGAAAGGGGGGGAGGGGAGGGGGAAGGGAGTGGGGGTGCGGGTGGGGGTGCGGGTGGGAAGGGAATTAAGGGGGGGAGAAGAGGGAGGGAAGACAATTTAGGGTTTTATGACGGCTGTAACAAGGGAAGTGGCTGTTAGGTGGTGGAGGTGAGAGGCGTGGTTGCTGCAAGAGGTTAATCCGTGGTCAATAGTTGAGGGTTCGGGGTGTGAGATGTATGGTGTCTCTAGGGTTTTGACTTTATGTCGTGTCTAAGGTTTTGACTTTATGTCGTGTCTAGGGTTTTGACTTTATGTCTAGGGGTGAGTTTTATGGTGTGTCCAGATTCTGCCCTTTCACCCCTCGTTTCTCTCTTGATTCTTTCAAATCTCACTATTCCATGCACATGCTATGCACATGCCATGCACATGCCATGCACATGCCATGCATATGCCAAGCATTCAACACCCCCTCCCCTCCTTTCCCAACCACCCCAACCCCCCACCTCCCCCCCCCCCACCTCTTCTTCTTCCTCTCTCCTTCCCTCCGCCCCCCTTGCCACTTTGAATGGTCCGCTTTTCTCCATTTCTCTTGCTCGCAAGCACATGACCTTTCTTTCCTTACGCCTCTAGAATCTCGCCTCACGCATTCTTTCTCTAACTTTTCCTGAGGTTTTTTAATATTTTTTCCTTTCCCCGCTCTCTCCCTTCATTCCCCCCTTTCCCTCTCTCTTCCGACCTTACTCTCGCACCTGCTTACCTTTCTTGCCCTGCCGTTTCTGAGTTGATTCAAATGGTACCTAAATGGGTCACCTTTCCCCCCTCCCTTTCATGCCCTGCCCTTGTTTCCAGCAACCCGCTTCCACACACAGGGGCAACGATGCCTCATTCTTGCGCCTCTCGTTCGCGCATTCGCATTCAGGTACAGCATGTGCTGCCGCTGCCTCTGCCGCTGCCTCTGCCACTGCCTCTGCCTCTGCCGCTGCCGCTGCCGCTGCCTCTGCCTCTGCCGCTGCCGCTGCCTCTGCCGCTGCCTCTGCCTCTGCCTCTGCCTCTGCTGCTGCCTCTGCCTCTGCCGCTGCCTCTGCCTCTGCCGCTGCCTCTGCCTCTGCCTCTGCTGCTGCCTCTGCCTCTGCCTCTGCCTCTGCCTCTGCCTCTGCCCTGCTTCCTCAACCTGTCATCACCGTTCCACACCATTGAGAATAGCCTTTTTTTCCTGACTCGTTCCCCTGTGCGGTCGTAACGCCTCTGCCCCCCTGCCGCCCTGCCATCTCCCACCCTGCCGCCCAGCTGCCCTTCACCCCTCCACCCTTCCACCCTTCCATCCACCCTTTTATATCTCCACTTTTCCACCTCTCCACCCCTCCATCCTTTTGCCCTGTACCACTTGCCATGGCTTCTCGCCCTTTCAACTCCCTTTTTCTCCCTCCCACTCCCACGCCCTCCCGTCGTCCTACCCTTCCTTCCCTCCTGTCCTCCTCCTGCCCCCCACCTTCCACGCCTACATCCCCCCCCTTCCCTCCCTCCCCTCCCTCCCCTCCCTCCCCTCTCTCCCCTCCCTCCCCTCCCTCCCCTCCCTCCCCTCCCTCTCCTCCCTCCCCTCCCTCCCCTCCCTTCCCTCCCTCTCCTCCCTCCCCTTCCTCCCCTTCCTCCCCTTCCTCCCCTCCCTCCCCTCCCTTCCCTCCCTCCCCTCCCTTCCCTCCCTCCCCTCCCTTCCCTCCCTCCCCTCCCTTCCTTCCCTCCCCTCCCTTCCCTCCCTCCCCTCCCTCCCCTCCCTCCCCTTCCTCCCCTCCCTCTCCTCCCTCCCCTCCCTTCCCTCCCTCTCCTCCCTCCCCTCCGTCCCTTTCCTCCCCTTCCTCCCCTCCCTCCCCTGCCTCCCCTCCCTCTCCTCCCTCCCCTCCCTCTCCTCCCTCCCCTCCCTCTCCTCCCTCCCCTCCCTCTCCTCTCTCCCCTTCCTCCCCTCCCTCTCATCCCTCTCCTCCCTCCCCTCCCCCCCCCTCCCTCGCCTCCCTCCCCTCCCTCCCCTCCCTCTCCTCCCTCCCCTCCCTCCCCTCCCTCCCCTCCCTCCCCTCCCTCCCCTTCCTCCCCTCCCTCTCCTCCCTCTCCTCCCTTCCCTCCCTTCCCTCCCTCTCCTCCCTCCCCTTCCTCCCCTTCCTCCCCTCCCTCTCCTCCCTCTCCTCCCTTCCCTCCCTCCCCTCCCTCCCCTCCCTCCCCTCCCTTCCCTCCCTCCCCTCCCTTCCCTCCCTCTCCTCCCTTCCCTCCCTCCCCTCCCTCCCCTCCCTCCCCTTCCTCCCCTCCCTCTCCTCCCTCCCCTCCCTCCCGTCCCTCCCGTCCCTCCCCTCCCTCCCCTCCCTTCCCTCCCTCTCCTCCCTCCCCTCCCTCTCCTCCCTCCCCTTCCTCCCCTTCCTCCCCTCCCTCTCCTCCCTTCCCTCCCTCCCCTCCCTCCCCTGCCTCCCCTCCCTCCCCTGCCTTCCCTCCCTTCCCCCCCTCCCCTCTCTCTCTCCACAGTGTCCCTCTCTCCTCTCCGCCGCACCAGCTCACCTACCCTCTCTGCAGCAGCCGCTGCTGCATCATCGCCTGCAGCACCTGTCGTGCCGGTGCTAGCAGCAAAGGGCGGCCCGAAAAAGAACTTCAAGAAGACCAAAAAGCCATCTGCTGATCCTGCTGCTGCTGCTGGGGAGGCTGCTGCTGATGCTGCTGCTCCTGCTGCTGAGGAAAAACCAGCAAAGGCCCCTAAGGCTGCCAAGGCTGCTAAAGCTGGCAGCAGCAACAGCATGAAAGGCCGACCGGCGGTGGATTTCACGACTGAAGCCATGACAGACAGCAGCATCACGGTGCGTGCTTCTGAGTTCTAGATGCATGCTTGAGTTGAGATGGTTTAAGGTGCGTGCCATCCTGGTTGGTTGATCTCACTCCTCCATTCTTACACCAACCTCACCACCCCCCCACTGCCCCTCCCCTTCCCATCCTTCCCCCCCCCCCCCCCCCCCCCGCCCTTCCCCTTCTGTCTGCAATCACCTGAGACACCAACTCCCTCCCCCCTTTCCCCTCCCTCACAATCACCTGAAACGGCTGCTCAGGTGCTCCACCCTTTCCCGCTCTTTGACGCTGCTCCACTCCACTCCACCCCGTGCAACTCACCTCACCATTGAAATCTCTTCTCCCCCGCCATCCTCTCTACTCCCCCTCCCTCTCCATGCCCCCCCTCCCATCAGGTGTGTGGCGACGTGGCAGGCAGTGAGACGGCCATGCTCTTTGACAGCACTCCTAATCATCCATCCTCACGGTTCCTTTCCCTCTCTGTGCTTCCCCTCCCCATGCTTTCCCTCGTATGATTCCCATCAGGTGCGGGTGGACGTGGCGGGCAGTGAGACGGCCATGCTCTTTGACGGCACGCTACGCTCGCTAGCCAAGGAGTGCCCGCCGCTGCCCGGGGCCAGGCTCGGCAAGGGAGGTAGGCTCGGAAAGGGGCGTAGGCTTGGTTAAGGGGTGTAGGTTCGGCAAGGGAGGTAGTCTGGAAAAGGTTTGTCCGTTTTCCTGTTTTCATTCCCCAGTTCCGTTCACCCTTTCTTTTTGCTTCGCCCTTTCGTTTTTTTCCTTCCGTTCCTACCACTTGTTCCCCCCTTCCCATTCCCCCATCCCGTTTCCCCTTCCCATTCCCCCTTCCCAATCCTTCATCCCATTCCCCCATTGCTTTCAACCTTTCCTTCCGCCCCTTACCACTTGTCCTTCCCTTTCCTGGAGATGTAGCTCATCCAACCTTCGTCCCTCTTCTCCTGAATCGCTCTCCCCTCTCCCCGTCGCCCCTCTCCTCCTGAGTCGCAATTCCCTTCCCTCATGGATTCCTCTCCCCTCTCCTTTTCTCCCGTTGTCCCTCATGTGTATCCACATGCTGTGTTGATGCTGGGGGGAGATCGACCAACAGGCAAGCAAGCAGGGGTGAGTGAGTGGTACTTTCAGTCATTTCGAAAATCCTCTCCCACTCTCTCACTCCTCACTTAATCTCAATTCTTACTGTAATTGTCTTGTTCTCATGCTCCTTTGTGCTTGTTGCTCATCCAAGCAAGGACACACATTCACTCTCCAAGGCACCAATTAAAGTCATTCACACCCACTTTTCACTCACGCCCCCTGTTCCCTCTTGCCCCCTCTTCCCTCTTGGCCCCTCTTCCCTCACGCCCCCTTTTCACTCACGCCGCCCTCTCACTCAGATCCACCCCCCCTCTCACTCAGATCCACCCCCCCTCTCACTCAGATCCACCCCCCCTCTCACTCACATCCACCCCCCCTCTCACTCACATCCACCCCCCCTGTCACCCCAGCCGCCTCTGATCATCCCCTCACCACCCTCAACCACCCCCAACCTCTTTCTTTTGTCGTTTCCTTCGCCTCTCTATCTCTGGCACCTTAAGATCTTCCAAGTTGCAATTCTCTGCTCCCACCACTGGGTGTTACCACGTCTCTCCCTGCTCCCGTGCTGCTGTTGTTTCACACCTCACACTCCCCCCCTCTCTCTCCCCCTCCCTCTTTCACCCTCCACCCACCCGCCCTCCTCCCCATCCCTGCTCCTCCCCCTCCCTGCTCCCCCCCCTCCCTGCTCCCCCCCCTCCCTGCTCCCCCCCCCTCCCTGCTCCCCCCCCCTCCCTGCCCCCCCCCCTCCCTGATCCCCCCCCCTCCCTGATCCCCCCCCTCTCTGCTCCTCCCCCTCCCTTCTCCCCCCCCCTCCCTGCTCCTCCCCCGCCCTGCTGTCACATCACAGGTTGACAAGGCAGTGGTACTGCGTTTCCTGGGTCGCTCCCGGGTGATAGGGTTCATCATCACAGAGCTCATCACAACACCTCACATTCTCCACCCCCCTCCTTCCCCCCATCCGCACACCGCCGCCCTCTTCCCCATCCCTGCTCCTCCCCCGCCCTGCTGTCACAGGTTGACAAGGCAGTGGTACTGCGGTTCCTGGGTCGCTCCCGGGTGATAGGGTTCATAATCACAGAGCTTATCACAACCTCACATTCTCCACCCCCCTCCTTCCCCCCATCCGCACACCGCCGCCCTCGTCCCCATCCCTGCTCCTCCCCCGCCCTGCTGTCACAGGTTGACAAGGCAGTGGTACTGCGGTTCCTGGGTCGCTCCCGGGTGATAGGGTTCATAATCACAGAGCTTATCAACAAGTCGCTGCTGGCTTATCTCGACCAGGTGGGCTGATGAGATGGTAACAGGGGGGGGGGGACAAGAGCAGGTGGCAACAAGTTGCTGGGTGATAGGGTTCATAATCACAGAGCTTATCAACAAGTCGTTGCTGGCTTACCTGGACCAGGTGGGGGGGGAGGGGAGGGAGAGGGCCTGTTGAACAGTAGGTGGTCTGTTGTTAGTGATGGAGGGTAGGGTTCATGGTGAGAAGAAGCATGTGTTGGGCTGGGTTGGCTTGGATTGGGTTGAGTTGGGTTCAAAAAGGCCCCGTCTCACACAAACTCGTTCTCATATCAACCCCAACCCCTCCTCATGCCTCCTCACCCCCTCCTCATCTCTAGCTCACCTCTCCCAGAAAGGCGTGGCATCAGCAGGCGACGCCAAGACCACCCAGTCTTCAGACGAGCTCCAGGCAGCGTATGAACCGGGCAAGCCCTTCACCTTCACCTCACTCCCACCCAACCCCCGACCCAACCCCCCAACCCCCCATCCCACCTCCTACCACACCCCCAACCCACCTCCCACCTTACCCCCACCTCCTCTCACCCTTCCAGAAAGGCGTGGCATCAGCAGGCGACGCCAAGACCACCCAGTTGTCAGACGAGCTGCAGGCCGCGTATGAGCCGGGCAAGCCTTTCACCTTCACCTCACTCCCACCCAACCCCCCATCCCACCTCCTACCACACCCCCAACCCACCTCCCACCTCACCCCCACCTCTTCCCCCACCCCCTCTCAGAAAGGCTTAACATCGGCAGGCGACGCCAAGACGACCCAGTCTTCAGATGAGCTGCAGGCGGCATATGAGCCGGGCAAGCCCTTCACCTTCACTGCAGAGGTACCCTTTGTGAAGAAAGAAGACGAGGCGGCTGCTGGGGAGGGGGAAGAAGCAGCAGCAGCAGCAGCAGCAGCAGCAGCAGCAGGAGAAGGGGAAGGGACTGAGGTGTCTACCAAAGTTGAGGGTGCTTAGAAGGCCAAGTTCATAGTGCCATGGTGGTTACTGTATTTGTGTGGTTACCGCAGGGGGGTTAGGCCAACCCACCTATCATTTTCGTTCACCATAGGTATTCATTTTATTCTTATGGTGTTGTGCAATAGATCTGGTAGGAGAAATATGCATTGCAGTGTATTGAAATAGGTTAAATCCGTTAGAAGATGGTGCACTCCTATCCACAGCAAACCAAGCAAATACGCTCAACACTCGCAAGAACAGAATTTCACGTCACACCTCGCTCATCCCAACACAAACAAGCCGACCATACCAGGCCCCGCCATATTTTCTCCATAACGCGGATGTCAAGGTGTCCTTTCTAATGCGCGGGTGCTCCCAGCGATTTCTTCCGCTAAGCCATTGGGTCTTTTCTCTCATGATGCGCTTGTTTTGAGTCATCGATATAAATCTATCGTAATGCGCGTGTTTCAGCGGATCGGATCTTCCGCGCAAGCCGCGGCAGCCGGCCCGCGCAAACCCGCCGCACTCTTGTCCCACGGTCAGCGCACGCGCTTCACCGCTGCGCCGGCGGCCGCTGGCGCTGGCGGCGGCGCGCACGGCTCTCACTGCGGGCATGGGCGCACGCCGCCATCCGCGCAAATGCGCGCGGGCGCGCTGGCGGCACTGGTCGCGCTGGCGGCGCTGCTGATTCTGTCCGATATCACGGGGCTTGGGCCCGCGCGGATGCTGCGCAAGCCGCCACCCCGCCGCCCCGCCCGCATGCGGATGCCGCAAGGCGCGGAAGGAAAACTGGCGGAAAATTGGTCGGAGCATGGGAAGGGGGGATCGGCGCAGGGGGGATCGGCGAGGGATGGGAGGGTAGCGGGCGCAGCAGGCTCTGGCGGAAGAGGATGGGCGTGGGGGAGCGGAATTGGAGGGGTATGGGGATGGGTGTGGGGCTGGGGGAAGGGGCGCGTGAAGGGCGGGGGGGATGGCGCAAGCGGACGCGTGGAAGCGGGGTGGATAGGCGGACCTGGCGGGGGGGACTGGGAGTGTACATCCGCGGAAGGGGGGGAGTCTGGGGCGGAAGGGGGAGACGGGGGAGGGGCGGGGGAATCCGCGGAAGTGGACAGAGAGATCAATGGATGGACTTTATCCGCGTTAGAAGCGTTTGCGAGGGAGAATGGTGACAATGTGACTGTATCGAGCGGAGATCCCAACACGTGGAGTGATGAGAGAGCGAGGGAATTAGAGGAGAAGTATTATAACGGGAAGAAGATTCCTTTTTGGCGAGAATATTCGGGAGAGGGGGATAAGAGGAGCGGGGGAATGGTTATAGGGCTGAATGAGAAAGGGCGACAAGTGTGGGGGTTGGCTCAGCTGCGTGTGACTCCAGCGAATGTGACTATAAAGTATGAGAGGTTGGGGGGAGGACAAGGAGGAGAAGGAGGAGGGCCGGGGCAGGGGGGAAGGGAGTTGAGGGAGGTTGGGGTGCGATTTAGAGGCGCCACGTGGCGGCCTGCCGTTGGCCAGTGGCTGAAAGCGTATGCAAACCTGTTACCAGCTGTTGCAGTAGAAGCGGTATGGATGGGATGGGGTTTGGGATGGGGATGTGGATGGGGATGGGGTTGGGGTTGGGGATGGGTATGGGCATGGGCATGTGGACATGGGCATGGGCATGGGATGGGAATGGGTTAGGGAATGTGCATGGGCATGGGCATGGGCATGGGCATGGGCATGGGCATGGGCATAGGCATGGGCATGGGCATGGGCATAGGCATGGGCATGGGCATGGGCATGGGCATGGGCATGGGCATGGGCATGGGCATGGGCATGGGCATGGGCATGGGTCCAGGCTCATAGTAAGGAATTTAGTCTACTTTACTTCATCTGCCCCCCGCCCTTCTCCCAAAATGCATCCCCTTCTTTCCGTCCCTCCATCTCCTGTTGTTCGTCTATTGGCCCACGCCCCCTCCCCGCCCACCTCCCTCCCCGCCCAACCTCCCTTTCCCCCCACCTTTTTCCGAGCTCTTTTTCTCAGAGACTTCCGCAATGTCAGTTTGGTCCCCTTCGGTTCCTCCCACCCCCTCCCCGCGCACCCTTTCCCAAGCGCTTCTTCTTCTCAGAGTCAAGCCTCTATCTCAATGTCTTCTTGCTCCCGAGTTGACTTTTGAGTCGACTCAAAAGTCAACTCCCTGCGCGCCCTTTCCCAAGCGCTTCTTCTTCTCAGAGTCATGCCTCTATCTCAATGTCTTCTTACTCCCCCTTCGTCTCCCCCCACCACACCTTCCCTCCTTCTCCACGTCTATTTCCCTTCGCCTATTGCCCACACCCCCTCCCCTCCCACCCTTTTCCAAGCACTTCTTTTCAGATTCATGCCTCGATGTCTGTTTAGCCCCCTTTCTTTCCCCCCCAACCGCCACCCCACCTTCCCTTCTTCTCCCAAAATGCATCACATTCTCTCCCTCCCTCTCCACATCTATTGCCCTTCGCCTAGTCCCCTGCCCACGTACCCCCCCCAACCCACGCTTTCCCAGCTCTGTTTTTAACCTTCTAGATCCCCATTGCTGTTCTGTGATGGCGTTTTGTGGACACGTCGCAAATCTCCTGTCCCCCCACTCCTTTTTCCCCACCCCCACCCCTTTCCCCTGCACCCATTTCCCCCACCCCTTTTCCCCCACCCCTTTTCCCCCACCCCTTTTCCCCCACCCCTTTCCCCTGCACCCATTTCCCCCACCCCTTTTCCCCCACCCCTTTTCCCCCACCCCTTTTCCCCCACCCCTTTCCCCCCACCCACCCACCCTTTTCCCCAGCACTGGTTTTCAGAGCCATGCTGCAGTGACTGCAGTGGCAGGGGCGTGTGCAACCACGAGAGGGGCACGTGTCAGTGCCCCATTGGGTACAAAGGTGCGGTGCGGTGTGGGCGGAAAGAGGGGTGTTATATTGCGATGGGGATGGGTGGGAAGCAAGGGATTTGCTGCTGCCACACTGCCTGCCTTGATATTGGTAACTAGTAACTACAGTACGCTGGATAAGAGCATCGCTGGATAAGAGTATCACTGTATAAGAGCCCGTGATCGGTGGAAAAGGAGAGAAGAGCTCGTATGTTTCTTCCACGCATCAAGTCCCAAGCCCACCTCCGCTGCTTCTTCCTTTCCTACCCTTCCCTACCCTCCCCCACCCTTCTCTGCCCTCCCCTTCCCCCCTGCCACCACCGTCCCCGTTTCTTCCCCCACCTATCCCCCTTTTCTCTCCGCCCCCCCAGGCCCGGACTGCTCTCTCCTCTCGCCCCTTCCCTGCAACATGAGTCGAGTTTTGAGTCGCCTCAAAACTCGATTCCCCGCCCCCCTTCCCCGCCCCCCCTTCCCGCCCCCTTTTCCCGCCCCCTTCCTCGTCCCCCCAGGCCTGGACTGCTCTCTCCTCTCGCCGCTCCCCTGCAACATGCCTGCTTCCACCAACGCCCCTCTCGGCGTGTGGTGGGTGTCTTCATGTCCCTAGTAGGGCACTGATGTTCCTCTGCATTCCTTCTCTTCCCCTGCTTCCCCCCCCACCCCCCTCCTCCTCGTCCCCCCAGGCCCAGACTGCTCTCTCCTCTCGCCCCTCCCCTGCAATATGCCTGCGTCCCCCAACGCCCCCCTGGGCGTGTGGGTGGTGTCTTCATGCCCCCATGGGGGCCTCTGTGACACCACAACTGCGCGCTGCCTGTGTGGGAACGCTACGGCCCATCCCACTAGACCGCTGTTTGGGCCATGCGGGTTCAACGCAGAGAAAGGGTGAGCCGGTGGGGAAGGAGCTTGGCTTGGAGTAATAAGATGGAACTGGAGTGGGGTTTCTTACCCCAACCCACACATGTTCTGAGTCGACTCAAAACACGCCGAGAAAGGGTGAGCCGGGGGAAAGGTGCTTGGAGTACTGAGATGGAACTGGGGTGGGGTTTCTTACCCCAACCCACACACCCCACCCCACGCCCTCCACTCCACCTTTCATCTCTGCCTTTCATTGCTGCCTTTTCATCTCCACCTTTTCATCTCCACCTTTTCATCTCCACCTTTTCATCTCCACCTTTTCGTGACTGGTCCCTACACCCCAACATCTCCAAACTCCGCCTCACCTCCCCCAGCGCCATGGGCTGGTGCCAAATGGATTCCAGCATTCCATCCCCCCCTTCCCCCTCCCCTCTCTCCGTCCTTTCCCCCGCTTTCCTTAACACAGTGACTGGTTTCTACACCCCAACATCTCCAAAGTCCGCCTCACCTCTCCAAGCGCCATGGGCTGGTGCCAGATCGACCCTGCCCAAGCAGCTTCCGGGCAGCAAAAACTTGAGGGAGGCTCTCACTCTCTCTGCGCGTGCCCGTACGACGGGCAGGGTGGAGAATTTTGCCACGTGCCCGTGAAGGCATATTGTGCTGGCGGGTGTCAAGGCCGAGGCGAGTGCCACCAAGGTTACTGCAAGGTAACCTTTTTCCTCCTTTTTTTCCTCCTTTTATTTCGTTGTACCTTGCTTTTGTTCCTGTTGTAATGTATCCTGACTTCCCTTCCCTCGATTCCACCCCGTCCCCTTCTTCCCTCCCCTCCCCTCCTCCCCTTTTTCTTATATTCCGTGAATCTCTTCTCCTTATGTCTTTCTTTCCAAACCACCCACCTACCCTCCCCCGCTCTTCCCTTCTTCCACCCCTCTTTTGAAACGTTTCGCTCACTCGCATGCGCCCTTTCTCTTGCACTCTCACTCGCCCTCTCTTGCACGCATACGCCCCTTCAGCACTCACCTCTCCCCCCCTCTCTCCCCTTGCCCTTCGCCCCTCTTCCCCGCTCTCCAGTGCCAGCCTGGGTGGTACGGCATTGACTGCAGCTTGCCATCCCAGACCACAGCAGCAGCTTTGGCTCTTTCCCACCCTCACCCCCTACCCCCCCTCTCTCTCCCCCCTCCACCTCCCGTTTCCCCCCCTCTCCCCTTGCCCTTCGCCCCTCTTCCCCGCTCTCCAGTGCCAGCCTGGGTGGTACGGCATTGACTGCAGCGTGCCATCCCAGACCACAGCAGCAGCTCTGGCACTCACTCTCTCATCAACAGGCGCCACTGGTGGCAGTGAATCTAGGGGAAGTTCTTTCAAGCATAGAGATCACGGAGAGCACAGAGAGCATGAGGGGCAGGCTGGGCAGGTTGGGGGGGCGGGGCATGCTGAGCAGGTGTCACCACCACTTCCGGAATGGTTTGGGGTGTCTGCAGATGGGGAAACGTGGGAGGAGGTGGAGTTAGACGTGGCAGAGGAGGCGCGGGGGGAGGGAGTGGGAGGAACAGAAAAAACGGGGTCCGGTGCAGTGGTGTCAGCAGCAGCAGCAGCAGCAGCAGCATCAGCTTCAACAGCAGCAGGGGCGTCTGCTTCTAGTGGCGCCACGTCTCTTCTAGCCCCTCGTCGCCGTCCCTTAATCTACATCTACGATCTGCCAGCAGAGCTGTCCTCGCACCCTTTCCAGGTGGGTGCCCCAACTCAACTTGTGTCCACGATCAGCAGGTGGAATGTCTCTTAATCAGCTTGTCCTCGCACCCTTTCCAGGTGGGTGCCCCAACTCACAACCTGCCAGGCTCCTCCTCCCTTCCTGTCAGGGTAGGCACATCATGATCTTTCTTACATTGCCCTGATAGGAAGGGAGGAGGAGCCTGGCACGTGGCTCGACGGTTTCCAGCCTAGAGACGTCGATATGCAGCCTAGTTTCTGACGTCGGGATCTATTTTACGAGTTGATTTTTTGGTCGACGCAAAAATCTATGTTATGGCCGTACCACAGCTACCAACTGTGCTGCACGGTTGCAAGCAATCCCATACCATAGGTTGCCTTGCCAGAGGAGAATGCGTCTGCTGTTCTCTTTTCCCCTTCCCTTCCCTTCCCTTCCCTTCAACCGCCTCGCGTTTCCACTTGCTGTCAGGCAGGCAGGCACAGCCGGTTCTGCTGTGCTCCGTCGCTCTACGTCTTTCAGAGCGGAACAGACATACGAACCGCACTGCACCACAAAGTATTCTGTACCAGAGAAGAATGCATCTCCCGTCCTCCCCTCCCGTCCCCTCCCTTCCTTCCTCCCTCACCCTCCCCTGCTGTCAGGGCAGGCACAGCCGGTTCTACTGCACCCCGTGGCTCTACGGCTTTCAGAACGAGACAGAGTTCAACCACGGCTGGCTGTATGGCCTAGAGGTGAGGGGGGACTATGGGAGGAGGAACGGCTTGAACAACTTAAGCTAAGCTGAAACCACAGGTCCCGGTTCAGCCAGAGGTCCGCATGCGGCAGAACCTTTCCGTGCAGAACCTTTCCGTGCAGAACCCCCCCCCCCAGCATGAGTCCCTCCCCCCCACCTCTCTCCGCCCAGCCCACACTGCTCTGTCCTTGTCAATTCTCCCTTCCTAGAGAGTGCTGTTCAATCAAAGGGCTGCTAGCCAGCCGGTGTGCACCGCACGAATGACCCCTCGCAGGCAGACTACTAGGTGACTTTTGACCTCGGTGTGCACCGCACGAATGACCCCTCGCACGAATGACCCCTCGCACGAATGACCCCTCGCAGGCACGAATGACCCCTCGCAGGCAGACTACTTTTACGAATGTGGTGTGCCTTTCAATCAAGCATGGTTCTGATATCATATGTCCCTCTCTTCTCAACTCACATTTCTCCTTTCCACCCCCTCCCTGCTTCCACCAGGGAGTGCTGCTCGAGGGGTTGCTAGCCAGTGTGCACCGCACCAATGACCCCTGGCAGGCAGACTTGCGTGCGCCCTTCGAGCCAGCAACGCATCAACATGTTGTTTTTTTGCCCTTCGACCCATGCTGCTCCTCTCTCCCTCCTCCCTCTCACAACCACCAGGGGGTGCTGTTCGAGGGGTTGCTAGCCAGTGTGCACCGCACCAATGACCCCTGGCAGGCGGACTACTTCTATTCTATGTGCCTTGCAAAGCAAGGTGTCAGCTTGTCCTCTTCACCTAGCCCACACTGTCCCCTCCTCCCTCTGCCACGCCCCCCACAACCACCAGGGAGTGCTGTTCGAGGGGTTGCTGGCCAGTGTGCACCGCACCAATGACCCCTGGCAGGCGGACTACTTCTATGTGCCGCTGCCAGGGGCTTGCATGACCGCCCGCGCTGATGACTCACCCGCATACTCCATGCTGGTAGGGAGATGGGGTAGTGGCATTGGGGAAGTGGGAGGGAGGAAGGGTGGATGGGGGAGGGGAATGGGTGGGGAACAGAGTGTGTGCAATGCACCGCACCAATGACCCCTGGCAGGCGGACTACTTCTATGTGCCGCTGCCCGGTGCTTGCATGACTGCCCGCGCTGATGACTCCCCCGCATACTCCATGCTGGTAGGGGGAGGGGGGATGGGTAAGTTGCTGGTATGCTGGTGGGGGGAGGGGGAACGGGGAAGGGAGAGAAGGTGGGTGGGAAAGGATCAAGTGAGACACTGCTAGACGACTGAGTTGGGGGGGTTGAGGAAAAGGGGGGAAGGGATGACTACTTGTGACTGGCAAGCTCGTTTTTGAGACGTCTCAAAAACAACCTCGCTTCACGTGGCTACTTGTGACTGGCAAGCCAGACTATTTCTACGTGCCGCTGCCCGGTGCTTACATCACTGCCCGCGCCGATGACGCCCCTGCATTCTCCATGCTGGTATGCTGGTGGGTGGAAGCTGCTGGTGTGAGGGATTGGGCTGGTATGCTGATGGATGGCTGGTATGCTGATGGATGGCTGGTATGCTGATGGATGGCTGGTATGCTGATGGATGGCTGGTATGCTGATGGATGGCTGGTATGCTGATGGATGGCTGGTATGCTGATGGATGGCTGGTATGCTGATGGATGGCTGGTATGCTGATGGATGGCTGGTATGCTGATGGATGGCTGGTATGCTGATGGATGGCTGGTTTGCTGATGGATGGCTGGTTTGCTGATGGATGGCTGTTTTGCTGATGGATGGCTGTTTTGCTGATGGATGGCCGGTTTGCTGATGGATGGCTGTTTTGCTGATGGATGGCTGGTATGCTGATGGATGGCTGGTATGCTGATGGATGGCTGGTATGCTGATGGATGGCTGGTTTGCTGATGGATGGCTGGTTTGCTGATGGATGGCTGTTTTGCTGATGGATGGCTGGTTTGCTGATGGATGGCTGGTTTGCTGATGGATGGCTGGTTTGCTGATGGATGGCTGGTTTGCTGATGGATGGCTGGTTTGCTGATGGATGGCTGGTTTGCTGATGGATGGCTGGTTTGCTGATGGATGGCTTGTATGCTGATGGATGGCTTGTATGCTCATGGATGGCTTGTATACTCATGGATGGCTTGTATGCTGTGAGGGATTGGGCTGGTAGGGGGAGGGAGGGGAGGAACAATGGAGAACTGGAGAAGGTGGGAAACGAGCAAAGTATGCTGTTGTGGAGGTAAAGGTCGTTTTTTAGGCGCCTCAAAAACGACCAGAATAGGAGAAGGTGGGGAACGAGTGAGCGGAAGTATGCTGTTGTGGAGGTGACTTTTGAGTCGACTCAAAAGTCACCTGAATGGGAGAAGGTGGGGAACGAGCGAAGTATGCTGTTGCGGAGGTAAAGGAAAGCTGGTTGGGGCAATATTCGATATGAAGAGCCAAACCTGGAGTAAAAGAACGGCCCGCCTACTCTCTTCTCCCTACTTGTGAGCATACCATCACGTATGAGACACACCTACTTGCGCCTTTCTCCCTACTCTCTTCCCCCTCCCAACCTTGTGGCAAGTACCTTGTGCGGCGCACCAACCTAGTGGCTGACTTCTACCTGCGGGCATACCATCACATCGAATCAAACCCACTTGCTCTTTTCTCCTTTCTCCCATCTTCTTCCTCCTTCCTCCCCCCCAGGGCAAGTACCTAGTGCGGCGCACCAACCTAGTGGCTGACTTCTATCTGCGAGCATACCATCACATCCGTGCACGTCCAATCTAAACCCACTTGCGCCTTTCTCCCTCCCTTCTCCCTCTCTCCCTATGCCCTTCCCTTCACCCGCTCTCCCCCCAGGGCAAGTACCTAGTGCGCCGCACCAACCTAGTGGCTGACTTCTACCTGCGGGCATACCATCACATCCGCTCGCACTATCCCTTCTGGAACCGCACAGGCGGCCGCGACCACATATGGGTGGGTGGTGTGTGGTTGGAGGGATGTATGCATGGGTGCATGGGTGCGTGCGTGGGTGCATGGGTGAATGGGTCAATGCGAGCATACCAATACATCCGCTCGCACTATCCCTTCTGGAACCGCACAGGCGGGCGGGACCACATATGGGTGAGTGCTGTATGGGGTGGGGGGGCAGAAGGAGGTGTATGCATGGGTGCATGGGAGCATGAGAGCATGGGTGCATGCCATGAGCGCACGGGTGCATGGGTGTATGAGAGCATATGAGCATGGGAGCATGGGAGCATATACAAACAAATTTACACAACTATCTTCTCCCTTCCCTCGCAGCCCTTTGCATCCGCCTCTCTTTCCGTTCTCTGCATGGGAAACTCCATGCTCTGCCATGCTCACTCCACCACTCTCCCATCCCTTTCTCCTTTCTCCTTCCCTCCCCTCCATTGCCTCCCCTCCCCTGTCTCCCCTCCCTCATATCCCCACCCCCATCTCCCCTCCCCCATTTTCCCTCCCCCGTCTCCCCCCCCTCCCCTCCCCTGCAGCCCTTTGCATGGGACGAGGGTGCGTGCACAGCCCCCCAAGCCATCTGGCCCTCCATCCTCCTCTCCCACTGAGGCAACTCCATGCTTCCTCAACCGCTGTCCACCACTCCACGTCCCTTTCTCCTTTATCCTTCCCTTCCATCCCCTCCCCCCCCTCCCCTCCCCTGCAGCCCTTTGCATGGGACGAGGGTGCGTGCACAGCCCCCCAAGCCATCTGGCCCTCCATCCTCCTCTCCCACTGGGGCAACTCAATGCTGTCACACGCGCACTCCACCACAACATACCCAGGGGATTCCTGGGCCTTCCTCCCCCCCACACTGAGGGGCACCCACCCCTGCTACGATCCGCACAAGGACGTGGTCATGCCGGCCTTTAAGGGGCCGCGTATGGACTTCTACCGCCGCCGCCTCTGGAAAAGGTGGGGGATTGGCAGGGGTGGATGTGGGTTGGAGGGCGGTGGACAAGGGTGTTACCTGAGGGGCTGAGGGGCTGAGTGGGCTGAGTGTGCTAAGTGGGTTGAGGGGCACACACCCCTGCTACGATCCGCACAAGGATGTGGTCATGCCGGCCTTTAAGGGGCCCCGTTTTGACTTCTACCGCCGCCGTCTCTGGAAAAGGTGGGGGGTTGGCAGGGTGTATGTGGAGTGGAGGGGGGTGGTTGTAACTGAGGGGGTGCGGTAAATGAGGGGCACCCACCCCTGCTACGATCCGCACAAGGATGTGGTCATGCCCGCATGCAAGGGGCCCCGCGCTTCGATTTCTACTGCCGCCGGCTCTGGAAAAGGTGGGGGGTTGGGTGGGGTGGATGTGGGTTGGAGGGCGGTGGACGGGGGTGTTGCCTGAGGGGCTGAGTGGGCTGAGTGGGCTGAGTGGGCTAAGTGGGGTGAGGGGCACACACCCCTGCTACGATCCGCATGTGGTCATGCCGGCCTTCAAGGGGGTGTTGATGTGGCCCCACATCCACCCCACCCAACCTCCCAACCTCTATCTTATGTTACCCTCCCTCTCTGCTCCACTGTTCTCCCTTCTCCCTTCTCCCCATCTCCCTTCTCCCTTTTCCCTTCTCCCTTTTCCCTTCTTCCTTCCCTCCCAGGCCTCTCTCTGACCGCCCGCTCCTCTTCTACTTCAACGGTCAGCTTGGGGCAGCCTTTGGTGGTCGCCCAGAGAAAGAGTGAGTGGTGGAGAGGAGTTGCACAGGTCACTGGTCATGAAGAAGAACAGCAGTGCTAGAACAAACAAACAAAACAAAACAAAACAAAACAAAACAAAACAAACCAAACAAAACAAACAAATAAAAACATTGGGGCTGCCTTTGGTGGTCGCCCAGAGAAAGAGTGAGTGGTGGAGAGGACTTGGGCGAGGAGTTTGGAAGGGAGGGAGGGGGGGAAGGGGAGGTAAGGAGGGAGGGGGGGAAGGGGAGGTAAGGAGGGAGGGGGGGAAGGGGAGGTAAGGAGGGAGGAAGACAGGGAGGGAGGAAGGGAGGAGAGGAAGAGTTGCTGTGTGGTCTCTGGCAAAAAGTGTACGGGGGCAAAACTGTAGCATTCTGGAGACGCGGGGTATCGATCACCGTACCTATCGCATGCAAAGCGCTCGCTCTACCATGTGAGCTACACCCCCATGTTAATGCCTTCTGCAATCAAATCCCATCTGCAATCAAATGCCATCTGCAATCAAATGCCATCTGCAATCAAATGCCATCTGCAATCAAATGCCATCTGCAATCAAATGCCATCTGCAATCTGCCATGGGCCCCGTGCCCCGCCTTTCTATGAGAGCGTTTCAACTCAATCTCCGTCCCTCTCGTTTCCCTCCGGTTCAAATGTGAGCGTCTCACACGGGAGGGACGAAGATTGGGTTGGGACGTTCATATCAAATCAAATCCCACATCTGCAATCTGCCATGGGCGGGCCCCTTGCCAATGCCATCACACATCTGCAACCTCCCTGCCGTCCCGCTCGCTCGCTCGCTCTCCTGCCCTCACTTCTCACCCCCCCGCCCCGACCTCTACTCCCTCACTTCTCACCCCCCCCCCCTTTCTTTCCAGTCCAGGTACAGCATGAGATTTCTGCAGTGGGTGGCAAGGACGAGATGTGGGCGATGCAAGAGCACGTTCCATGCACAGATCTACTCTGAGAGGAGCACCCGTACAATCCAGATGCCACCTGCAATTTGCCCTTCCAAGCTCCCCCCCCCACGCTTCTCTCCTTCCTGCCCGCTTGCCCTTGTGCCCTCGTCCCCCTCCCTTCCCCCCCTCACAGTTACAGCATGGGTATACGGCAGCGAGTGGCGCACCTCTTTGCGTCCATTGATAACGTGAACGGCAGCAAGGGCGAGATGTGGGCGCCAGACGTGGTAGTCACGAGCAAGCGCAGCGACGACTACTCTTTTAACGTGAGCATCTCGATCTTGGTTTCCCTTCCATTCCTCTGTTTCAATGTACGCTGAGCGGCTCGCACGGTGCGGTGGGCGCCAGACGTGGTATTCACGTCACGAGCAAGCGCAGCGACGACTATTCCTTCAATGTGAGTATTTCAATTTCTGCTTCTCCCTGTGTGCACTCTTGGTTGGGCAAGTGCCAGGGCGGAATGGCACAATGCTGTTTGGGAGTCAGTTTCAGAATTCTCAAAACTGACTCCCAAAATGCCAGCTCCCCTCATCCCGCCTCTGAGGGGTGCTCCCCGAGGACGCCATGCTGCCACTCCTTCTCACTCCCTTCCACTCCTTTCCACTCTCTTGCACTCCCCTTCTCCGCCCCTCCACAGCTCTCCTCGTCTCGCTTCTGTGGGGTGTTCCCAGGGGACGGCTTCAGTGCGCGCATGGAGGATGCCATGCTGCATGGGTGCATCCCTGTCATTGTGCAGGTGTGACGGCATTTGAGTGATTGCATAGGCATAATGGTATCGTAGGAAATGACCGTAATTCCCCCCCGGATGGCTTCAGTGCGCGCATGAAGGATGCCATGCTGCATCCATGTCATCGTGCAGGTGTGTTTGGAGTCTGTGTGCACGTGTGTGTGCACGTGTGTGTGCTGGCACAGGCGTAATGGCAGGTCAGGTATCTGCTGACATGTGTGCTATCGGCAAGGTGCAGAACAGCATCGGATCGTCCTAAATTTGGCTCTGGCTGTGGCTGTGGCTGTGGCTGTGGCTGTAATCTCCAGTATTTCTAGAAACGACAGTAGATTCCCAGGGGACGGTTTCAGTGCGCGCATGGAAGATGCCATGCTGCATGGGTGCATCCCTGTCATCGTGCAGGTGTAACGGCAGGAGTGTGCTGGCAGGAGTGCTTGTTGCTGGCATGTGAGTGCTGTCATACATGCATGCCTCGAATGGTCCTTTGTGTTAATTATCGACAAAAAACAGTACAGATAATAGGCACGGCATTCAAGCAAGGTAGGAATGAAGAGTGTTGCCTTGCTGCCATGCATGCCTCTGTGTGTCTATACCTGCACATACTTGCATGAATGCATGCATGAATGGCGTTTCCTTATCCGCGCAAACCCATAGAGGTCGCTATGCTGCACAGCTGCATCGCACAGGCATATTCTCGCGTGCACTGGCATGTGTGTAATGGCATGCGTGGGATGGCATGTATGACATACATAATTTCTTGAAAACTCCACCGCATGCCCACAGCATGCCTCCAGCGCAGCATGCCTCCAGCGCAGCATGCCTCCAGCGCAGCATGCCTCCAGCATCATTGCCACATGATAACAACTCTAAGCACTCCCGTCTGTTCCTGATCTTGTGGCCTTTCCTTCCATGATCTTACAATTACCATTTTCCTTCCCTAATTGCTTTCTCCCCCTCTTCCTCCCTCCATCCCCTTTATTATTAGGATGGGATTCATTTACCATTTGAAAACTTCCTTTCTTATGAGGATTTTACTGTGCGGGTAGCCGAGGAGGATATTCCCAACATGATCAAAATTCTGAGGGTAAGCTAGGATAGTGTGGAATATACTACACCACCACGATTGAGTTATTGCTTATAATGGATTGATATTGCACACCATCTTGCGAGCGGACATGAGCATGAGTCAATCAAATCAAGCTCAGTGGAGTCATGACTTGCAGTTTTCTCGCTCTTCGATACAAGCGACTGGTAAACAGGTTACAACTTGGTTTGTTTGCTTATCGTCCGTCCCGTACATTCTCTCCCACGTTGCTCCTCCTCTTTTCATCTTACCTTCCCCTCCCTCCTTAACCCCTCCTCCCTCTCCTCTCTCTCCCCACACCCCTTCTCTCCCACCGCAGTCACTCCCCCCACTCCGTGTGCAGCATTTATGGGAAGGGGTTCAGCGCATGTGGCAGCGGTGGGTGTACCATGGAGTGATGCGGCTCGAAGCAAAGCAACAGGCATCATTATCGATCTCCCCTCCCGCCTTGCCCCCTCCTCCCTCCACCCCAGTTGCTCCCCCCTCCCCGTGTGCAGCACCTATGGGAAGGGGTCCAGCGCATGTGGCAGCGGTGGGTGTATCACGGAGTGATGCGGCTCGAAGCAAAGCGACAGAGAGAGCAGCACGGGCATCATATGGCCTGGGCAGAGGCACTAGAGGAATGGATAGAGGAGGATAGAGGCAGGGTGGGGGAGGGAGGTGGGGATGGGGGGGGAGGAGAGAGTGTGGGAGGAGGAGGAAGAGAAGGGGGGAGAGGAGGTGGAGAGGGTTGGAGGCATAAGGGTGATGACAGTGGGGTGGGTGTGCAGGAGGGGAGTTGGGTGGGGATGGAAGGTGGGGTGGAGGGTGTGGGGCCAAGGGGTGGGGCAGGAGGGAGAATGGGGAAGAGGAGGAGGAGATCAGATGATGCCTTTGACACACTGATGCAGGTGCGTGCTTGTGTGCAGTGGAGTGTCTGTATGCAGGTGTGTGTCTGTGGGGGTATGGCTGCCCGCTGAGAATTCTGTCAGAAGGGGTGTGGTGGGAAGGAGAATGGGGAAGAGGAGGTGGAGATCTGATGATACCCTTGACAGACTGATGCAGGTGCGTGCTTGTGACTTTTGAGTCGACTCAAATGTCACCTCAATGCAGGTGCGTGCTTGTATGCAGGGGAGTGACTGTACACAGGTGTGACTGTAAGCAGTGCGGCCGTGTGCTGTTTCGTGACTGTACGCGGGGCTGTGACTGTGTGGATATGGCTGTTGGATTAACCTTGTGACTACTGGTATACCTTACTGTGTGACTCACTGCATCATGATGAGAAGCGTCTGGAGACTGGAGGACTCGCACCGGCTTGTAAGTATCGTGCATTATCACTTTACGATCGTCAGCAAGTGCATTGTACTGGTATTTGTCACCATGGAATCAGCCCCTTGTCCACAATCTGCAAGTTCACTGTGTGGCTTCTGATGGCTCGGAAGGCAGCACTCTATGAGGATGGATTACTATCATCAGCACTGTATGTTCGTGCAATCATATCTGTTACAAATTGCGCACATATATGTTACAAATAACATGAGGATACATTATTCCTGCTATACATTCCCTTCCTTCAAAACTTGGAAAATGTACCCCTACGTACTCTATTCCGGCTATACATTCTATCCATACCTACTCTCTCCTCCCGATCATGCACCCTCTTTTCCTAACGTCCCGTTCACCTTCCCTTTCGTCTTTCCATTCGTCTTTCCATTTGGGTTTCCTTTTGGATTTCCTTGTGCAGATTCTCTACTACAAGCTTCACAATGACCCTTGGCGGAAAACATGTCGGTTAAAGAGTGCATGAACTGACTCTTGTACTGGTAGTATTGTACAGATAATCCATTGCCTATTTAAGAGTTCATTCACATTCACACAAGAGTTTGTTATCGCTGCACCAAATGCCTTGTCATTATTGGTCAATGGTGCGATGCAGGCCCTCAGATATCAGCGTAAAACACGCTGATTAGGCTGATTTTGTAGCTGTGATTTTCGTTTTCCCTGGAAATTCAGCATATGCTTCAATTTTGCACTGAAATTTCAGTATAACTTACCTTGCCACACTGACCATTTTCCGTGTTGCTGTAGAAGTAACACTGACGAATCAGTGTAGTGTCGTGAGTCACACTGAAACGGACTTGACCGATTCGGGGGGGGGGGGGAGGGGGGGGGGGGTACGCGTGTGTACAGTATGTACCTGGCCCGGGATTCACGAGACCCCACCCACACACTTGGAGATGCCATGCGCTGTACAGCAGATCGCGTGCCGACGTGCTTTGCATCGCTGGAAGGAACTCTCACAGCGGCAAACTTTGAGTTGAATTGGTGATTCAACTTTGTTTTTATTTTTTACACTGATGGTTCAGTCTACTTATGATTTTTACACTGGCAAAATCAGTATAAAAAAAACCATGAACGCTGATTTGGACACCTGGGCGGCCGGGGCACGCTGATCGATCAGCATACCCTCAAACCAATCTGAGGGCCTGGTGCGATGGGTTGGGGTGCCATATGTTATCACGGTAAAGTGATTTTTATTTTTTTTTTGCTTATGTTTTTGTCAGAAGGAACTAGAGTTAGGCTTAGGAAGTTGGAGAGTTTGACGAGAGAAATAGGTGTTTGGTAGGATTAGGAAGAGAAGGTGTTGGGCTGAGAAAAAATAGCCCTTAGGATCTTTGCAGGGGTGAACTCTGGGTAGAACTGATGTAGTAGCGGAAGCGTTTAATGAAGAGTTGTGAACCACTTTGCGCTAGTATGTGAGGGCAAAGTCGATTGATTAAAGCAAAGAGATACAAGATTATATAAGAGTACAAGGAATACGAAGAGATATGGTTGCAACTACTTTACTGTTGCTGTTGCGGTTCGATACAGTGACGACTCGGGCAACTGCTCTGTAACGAGTCAGTTGTGTGTCCTTGCTTTCGCGATGTACTTGTCAGGTCAAGGGTCGCTGACCTTTGACTTTCGCGTAACCTCTAGCAACCGCTCAACCTCCGAGGGTTGACTCGCTGGTGCTTCGATATACTTCGCTTCGCTTCTGACTTGGTGTTTCGACACGACAGAGGCGCTTAGAGTTAATTGTTTCCAACACTCCCCTTCGCTTCTGGAGTGTCGCAGTTGGTGACGTGGCTCTGTCCAGTCAGCAGCATGCAGTACTCGAACTTCTGCTTTCCGAGCTTCTTGGTCAAGTAATCAGCTGCCATCTCGGACGTGGGGCAGTATGACAGCTCGAGTCTTCCTTTCTCGATCTCGTCCTTCACGAAGAAGTATCGCAGGGCGATGTGTTTCGTCCTGTTTGCGAAGCCGCTCTTGTTGGCTATGCGAATGGCCGACTGGTTGTCGCAGAACAGGGTAAAGTTTGGTAACTGGGCTAGCTTGGCTTCCTCCAGGAGTTCGCGAAGGTACAGTCCTTCCTTGGTGGCTGAGCAGAGTGCAATATATTCTGCTTCAGCTGAAGAGAGAGCGATTAATTCCTGCTTACTCGACTGCCAGGAGATGGGACCGATAGTTTCGAAGCGATAGATGTAGCCGGTGCGCGAGCGTCTGTTGTCGGAGTCGCGGCGTGATCGGCGTCGACGTAGCCGATTAGTTTAGGTGTCGACGTTCCGTTCTTGTGATAAGTCAGGCCGATCGTCGGAGTGCTAATGAGGTAGTGAAGAGCGCGGTCGAGTTCCGCCATGTGTTCTGCTTCAGGCCTTTTGAGGTAGGTGGCAAGTTGGCTCGCAGAATACGATAGATCCGGACGGCAAGTGACGGCTGCGAAGAGAAGGCAGCCTAGCTTTCTTTGGTAGTCGCGTATGCCGGCGGGTCTTAGCGGAGTGGATCCTTCCTTGTTGTTTCCTGCCGCGTAGCGATATGGCGTGGAGATGGTGGTCGGTGTGAGTGCGAAGCGCTTAGCGATGGTGTCGGCGTATTTCGCGGCGCTGAGGTAGATTGCGTCTTCTTCTTCCTGAATGTTGAGGCCGAGGTATTGCGTGACGGTCGATGATACTGTGAGAGTGAGATCCTGCTGCAGCTCCCCTTCGAACCAGGTAGTGACGCTGTCGGTTGAGCCGATGTAGAGCAGGTCGTCCACGTAGACAATGAGCAGGATGTAGTTGTCGCCCTTCGTGAGCCGGTACATGCCTTGGTCGTGTGGTAGTTGACGGAATCCGATGCAAATGAGTCTGGCGTGCAGGTACTGCTGCCACAGCCTCGGTGCCTGTTTGATGCCATACAAGGACTTTACCAGCTGACAGATTTGGTTGGGCTCTCCGTTGGAGCCGTGTGGAAGTTCGACGAAGATTTCGGCGTCAACAGGTGCGTAGAGGAATGCATTCGCGACGTCGATTTGCCGCAGCTTCTTCTTCTTCATGGCGGCGATCGCGAGAAGGATTCGAAGTGAGGTGTGTCGGCTGACCGGGGCGAATGTCTCGGTGAAGTCGCGTCCGTGTTCCTGGTCGAAGCCGCGTACGACCCAGCGCGCCTTAAACTTGTCGATGGTGCCGTCTGCTTTTGTTTTCACACGGAAGACCCATTTTCCGGTGAGTACCGTTTTGTTGCGTGCCACGCTGATGGGAACCACTTTCCAGGTGTTCCGCTCCTCTAGTGCCTTCAATTCCCTGTCCATGGCTTCGCGCCACTTTTCCCTGTGCTCCCCCCCCAGAGCCTGCTGAACCGTCGCAGGCTCCTTAGGAATCGCAGTGCCGTGGACTGCGGTGACCAGGCCAAGTATCTGAAGGCCACTCTGTGTGTAGCGGAGGAGTGTGGTATCCGCGGGATAAGCTGCTTCGTCACCTGCTTCTGGGTCAGGTATGAAGTTGGGCCCTATGTGTTCTGCTTCGTTGGTATTGGCTTCTGCAGGTGTAACGTAACTGTTGTCGGCGAAGTGATAAAATACTTCGGCGTTGATGCTTTCGCGAGGGTTTTCATCATCCATTGGGATGTCGACGGAGCAGTACGGGAGAGGTCCGGCTTCCTCCGAGGCTGCGTCCACGTTCTGCTCGTCCAAGTCAGCTTCGTCCGCTGCGGAAGCGAAGGCTCGGTCTCCACGAAGTCCACTGGTGAGGTCGCGTTGTTCTTCCATGTTGGCTAGATAGGAGGCGAGAGTGAGTCGTTCGTAGAAAATCACATCACGTGCTGCCACTGTTTCCTTGGTATGGACGTAAAAAATCTTCCATGCGTTGTAATTCTTTTCGATGCCCAGGTGTAGCCCCCACTGTGCGCGTTGGGAGAATCGGTCGGCTCGTGCAGATGGGGGTCGGTACTGTACCATGCAGCCGAAGACTCGTAACATTTTTGTGCTGCCCAATTTTCCTGTCCACAGCAGATGCGGTGATGCGTTTTTCGGAAGCGATGATGACGAGAGCAAGTTGTGCAGCATGACGGCGTGGTCCATTGCTTCGGGCCACTGGTGGTTGGGTAGCCGCATGCCACGTAGCAGTTTGCGCATGGTGTTCTGGAGGGTCCTGTTCATCCTTTCTGCTACACCCTGCTGTTGATGGGCGTAAGGAAGGGAGATGAGTCTCTTGATTCCCTTTTCTGCCAGGTAGTCCTTGAAGCGTTGTGAGGTGTATTCTC